AATTTTCTGCAAAGTTTGTTACCTGCTGACTAAACAGAAAATGCAAATCCATGGAAATAAATACATCTAGAGTATTACCCCATCCATCATAATATAGCCAAATTCGAGGGTACTGATTTTTTTTACTGATTTAAGGTATGTCACTCGTGAAATTTGTTATATCAAGGATTTTTTGAGAAGTATATTTTGGATAAGTACTCATATAGTATGACTCAAAATCGCTGAGAAAATGGGGGGTCAGTGTGCATCTAACTGAGCTACGGTACAATTAAGTTGACCTCTTTGCACTTAAATTGTAACTCTTTGGTTAATCACTTTAACCGTTATCATATTTTATCAGATGTAACCATGACAATAAACATAAGCTTATTTTACGTAAAATAGTTTGAATAATATTTATCATTGAACAAATCATGCAAATTAAAACGCGTAAATTATTGTGTGACCTTTTTGCACTAAAAAAGTCTCATATTTGGGGTATTAAAAATCTAAATAGGCAATATAATATTTTCTTGTATCAAACTTTTTACGACTTAAGTGTTGATTGGTCAAAAGTATCGAGTAGTTTAAAATAATGAAAGAAAAAGTTGGGGTCAGTGATGTAAATTTTGAAATATTGGTCAAAATATGCGATTTTCTGGCAAAAAACTGTGTAAATTTTATCTCGATTTCCTTAATATATCTTCATTTCTTGGCAAAGTTTGCTGAGCGAATGTGTAAATTTTGTTATAAAAAATAAAATGAGACCTATATTTAATATTCCAGGCATATCATAACGGAAAATATTCTCTGAGTAAAAGTATGTGAGGCTAAAGTTCCAAGATATTGAATTTAATAAATGTGTAGATTTGCAGAATTTTCTGCTAAATATCCTTCCAACACAAGAAATAGTCCCTTATAAATCTTGCTTCTTTATGAATTTTTGAGCAGGTTTTTAATTGAATGTTGAACATTTTACATTGTTTAATTTAAATATGTTATAAAGATTGAATTGTAATAAATAGTTTTTAAGTAAGAGGTTCTGACTGAAATTTTCTAAAAGGCTGACGAGTGACATACCTTAAAGAAGTAAATATGGTCAATGGCTCATTTTAGCCCCAAATTCAATATAAGCTTTTTAGATTTGATGATTTAGAGTTTAAGACAATTAAGGCCAGTTCCTGTTTTTATTATGGATTTCTATGCTGGATGCATTGTACATTCATTGGAGGATGGAAAAGTCTTGGGTATTATCAGAATTATAATAATCAATTGATACAGGAATTCAATTTTGTTAAAATTTGGTTGTGCTTTATTTTTCTAAATGCAACTTATTATTTAGTATTATTTAATCATTACCATATAGAAATTATAAGCTATCTCATCCATTTTAATTGACTCCTCTGTTGCTTTAATCGTAGTAAGATTATAACACAAAAAGCCACTACTAAAGAGATAATTAGAAATTAAAATAAAAAGTCCTAGCATAGACTGTAGCTATTTCCACTGTTGATTATAATTCTCAGTCTCAGAATGATTTTGAATCATGCTAATAAACAACATAAACTGCCATTTCAAAATGTGTTCTGTCAACATGGTCAAATTAAATCATTCAAGTGACTTGCACATATTTTGTTGATTTTTAATAAAAACAATAATCTTTGAAACATCTTTATTTGAATCAAATGTATTTACATCAGAACATCAAAATGTGTGCCATAATTGTTGAACAGCATTTTCACTGAACATCTTTGATACCACCAGTAAGGCACATGGACCTTAATTCTGTTAGCCTGCAGGCAGTTGATGGACTTTATAATGGGGTCAACTTTATAAATATTGTGTAAGGCTTTGCAGCAATCAAATATATATATATATATATATATATATATATATATATATATATATATATATATATGTATATATATATGTATGTATAGATTCTTATAGGGCTGGGTATTGGCTAGAGATTTCATATTGCAATATACTGTCACAGTGGTATTTATGTTCCCATAAAGAAGTTTGGGAACATATTGTTTTTACTTTCTTTTTTCAAAATTTCTTCTCCGGTACTTTTTTGTCCACAAGTGTTCTTAGAAACTACTCATTTGATTGACATGAAACCTTTTTAGGGTTAACTTGATGTGTAAATGTGCGGAATGAAGGTAATTTCGCTGGCACATGCATGCACGGAGTGAAATGACTTATACATTTGAAACAGCTTTAACCTTCTTATTTTTTTATGATATGCTTTGAACCTTATTATACCCCACGCAACAAGTTGCGTGAGGTATAATGTTTTTGACCCGTCTGTCAGTCAGTCAGTGTGTCAGTCAGTCAGTCCTGTTTTTTTGTCAGCGCAACTCCTCATAAACCGCTGCACAGAATTTCGTCAAACTTTGCAAATATTTAGCACACAATGTGTAGATGTGCATATTACCAGGAAATTCCGATTCCTTTATTTTTTTCTGGATATTTTGGCACTTTTCAACATAGATTTTTGGCCATATCTTGAATATAAAGATGAACAGTTTGTCAGCGCAACTCCTCATAAGCTGCTGCACAGAATTTCGTCAAACTTTGCAGATATATAGCACACAATGTGTAGATGTGCATATTACCAGGAAATTCCGATTCCTTCATTTTTTCTGGGAATTTCGGCACTTTTCAACTTAGATTTTTGGCCATATCTTGAATAAAGAGATGAACAGTTTGTCAGCACAACTTCTCTTAAACCGCTGCACAGAATTTGGTCAAACTTTGCAGATATTTAGTACACACTAGATGTGCATATTACCAGGAAATTCCGATTCCGTTATTTTTCTGGGAATTTCGGGAATTTTCAACTTAGATATTTGGCCATATCTTGAATATAGAGATGAACAGTTTGTTAGTGCAACTTTGCAGATGTTTAGTACACAGTGTGTAGATGTGCATATTACCAGGAAATTCTGATTCCATTATTTTTGCCTTAAGAGTTTTTCCTATTATTGAAGAAACTTTCCAGCTAGGTAATAAGGAAATTTTATGTGAAATATTTTATGACCTTAAAAGACCCCTATTGATTTTGAGATCAAAATATTAATGATTTAACACACAATATCTTGGATAGTCCCCCCCCCCCCCCCCAAATTGGTGCTTTGCCTTAAATAATTTTATAAGTACAGTATATAAACAAATTCATATGACTACATCATAATTTTGTTTCCATCAATTATTTAAATGTGTAAATTGTCATGTGTTGAACATGGACTTACACTCATTAAACTTCAGAAACTTCAGCCCAATTAAATTTATAACATACAAAGATTTGAATGTCCTTTTTTGCAATAAGTTTTGATGTGATGATTTTTTTGCAAGTAATGCCCCTTTTTGAATTATACTGTGTATTTAAAATGCACCGTGCCATTCATTACGTGTTGCATTGTCGAGTTTTGGGGGAGCATGGGGTATGTGAGCTTGCTCACTTTTTCTTTCATTATATATAGTTATCATATATAAGTGGTGCAGACAAGATGAGGTGGTTGAATTAGCAAGAAAGCACACGCATGCAGGTGTGCTTTGCTCTAATTGGCCGACACAAAAAAATCTCAATAATCTTTTATTTTGACAAAATACTTTGAAATTTGAAATCTAGTTATACACAAGGAGGTTCTACATTATGATATGTATGAGATCTCATGAAAAGCGCATGCACGTATGCTGTGATTTGATTGCCTTAAACTTTAAATGGCTGTGACTCTCTTAGTTTTCAACAAAACAGGTTGAAATTTAGAATATAGATAGGTATAATGGGTTCCTACTTTGTGCTACTATCAAAATTGAATGCAAGAACACACATGCACATATACTAGATTCTGATTGGCTAATACTTGTATGGCTGTATCTTTCACAGTTTTCAATGAAAATGTTTGAGATTTCTTACATAGGTATCTATTGTGAGTCTCTTTACGAGGAAGATGTGAAATATCTATAAAAAAAAAAACAAAACCAAAAAAAACAAGGGCATGCATGTGCCATGAAATCTGATTGGCTAATACTCAAAGGACTGTACTGGTGATGTTTTTCAATTAAATACTTCTGAAAATAAAGTATAGATTTATAACACAAAAGGATTGCCTAATTAAATGAAGTTTGTAGGGAATTGGACCCATAAGGGAATGGGGGAGTGTATGGGGAACATCTGTAACAGTTCCCGTTACAATTAGCACTTGAGAAGAAGATTTTGTATTTCAATATGTTCAATGAAATTAAGAAAGGTATTTTTTATTATACATGTATTAACTTCCATTTATTAGGAAAATAAAAACAAAAACAGAAACATGCAGAATAAATATAACTATGATAAATAACCAAGAAAAAATAAATTGTTGATTTAATTACAGTTATGCACAGAAATGCACTCACTGCAACAGCTTTTGCTTTAAGAATTGTTTGGCATGATTGCCAAGGTTTCTGACAACGTATACTGTATATTTTATCATAGAAATAGGAGTCAAAGCATTTTGACTGTATATCAGTACGACAAAAATTTATTGCAACATGATGTTTTTTGTCATTGTATCGAAATATACAGGAATATCGGTATTATTGCCCAACCCTAGATTCTTATCAAGAGTACTGTAATAGGACCACACTTAATCATATTGATATGCATGCAAGCGTTCCCAAACCCTGTGGAATGCAAATGGAGCCTTACAGTTAAAGTAGAGGTTAATTTGGGGATCAGATATATGTATAATAGAACAAATCTTTAATCAAAAATCTACATTTAGTGACACTGATATTCAGCATCCCCATGTTGTGTGAATCATCCCCTTGGAGCTAGGATATGTGGTCAAATATTTTCATCTGCCTCTGAAGAACAGCAGGTCCAGGGTGACTTAGATGTGCATTTTGGCCTATGGGCCTCTTGTTTTTAAAGGAATCTTAAAGAGAAATGTCTTACGGAAATATTGCATAATAAATTCTGGCTAGGGATCTTTTTATTACAGATATATTCATTTCCTTTTTTTCTTTAGCTTTTGAGAGAATGCAAGGAAGTACTTCGAGGTGCAGTGATTGTTAAACAGTATTTTCAGACGATGGTAGACGATGTCTCCTCAGAGGGGGAGACCAATATCATGAAAGATTTAGGAGAATTTGATGATGATGTCAGAAAAATGTTAGATGTAAGTAAAAACTATGTGGTAATTCTGTCTATAAAGTAAATGCATTTACTCTTAGCTCTTCTGAGCCAAAGGCTCAGAAAGCCAATGCTATGGCCATTTGTGCAGTATGCGTAAACTTTTTAGAATATGGGTGATATCTCAAAAACCCCTGGGCCAATTTTTGTCAAATTTGTCACAGAGTACCCTTGGCCCAATGGCTCTTGTTTATACTAAAACTAGGGATATGACTCTTAAACAAGGGGAGATAATTAGGAAAATAAAAACAAAAGTATTGGTTGATAAAAAATCTTCTTCTCAAGAACCACTGGGCAGATTATCAATAAACTTACACACACGAGGATATGTTGTAGATTAAAAAATTTAAACAAGGCATCACCCTGGGGCAAAGTGTGTGATCTCAAGGTCACTTCAATGTTGACGGAAAAATTATGTTTTATTAAATCTTTGATATTTTGCTTACTATAAGGACTAGGATCATAAAATCTTGTCAATTGATGCATCTGAAGACCTCATCTCAAGGTGACTCAAAAGTAGGTCAGGATGACCTTCTTTTTGAATTTTGCATGTATAAATTTTCAGTTTGATTTTGATGCATATCTTGGACATTTTGAAGCCTATGATCCTCAAATCTTGTAAGTTTATGCATTATGAGGCCAAAAAGTAGATCAACATGAACTAATTTTTTAATCTTATAGCTAAACATTTTCAAAGCATCAAAGGTCATTATTTTGGATACTGAGAGGTTTAGAATGTTAAAACCTTGTAAGTTGATGCATCTTGGTGCTTTGAAACATATTTATCAAAAAGTAGGTCACAGTGACCTACTTAGAATTTTGCAGGCTTTCATTCTATGATAGTTTTAGAGGCATATTTTGGACACTTTGAGCAATCATCAAAACCTTGTTAGTTGATGCATCCTAAGTCCTCAAAGTATTTCAAGGAAAAAGTAGGTCACTGATCTACTTTTTGAACTTTATGGTTATATTTTAATGTTTCAGATACTAATTGGCTTAGAATCATCAAACTTTGTCAGTTGATGCATCTTGGGTTCTCGGAGTATGTCAACTAAAAAGTAGGTCACTGTGACCTACTTTTGAATTTTTAGGGCTCTATTTACCGTATTTTCACGTGTAAAGGCCACACTCTTGTAATAGACATACCCCCAAAGTTGGGGGGGGGGGGAAATCCTGAGAAAAACGCAGTTCCTATAGATAAAATGCACCCCCAAAAATGCAATTATGGATGTATCTCTTAATTTCACAGCACAACTAATTAAAAGAAAAAGTTTAAAAAGTTAAAATATTCATTTCATTTCAAAAATGAAAGAAGGATACAACTTTTAATTTTCTTGGCAAATTCTGTTTACTTATAAGCTTTATTTGCATGTATTTAAGTTTAGTTTGTATTTTAATTGTTATTTGATTGGTATAAATTAAAAGCTAAGTCCCTAATTTTTTTTTCTATAACCCCAAGCATGTTACAATATTGCGCTGACAATGCATTCCAAGCACATGTCTGTGTTTAGGTAAACAAATCATCCCAAGCGTAATTAGTGTCACACTTATGTACATAAGTGATGCCAGGTAATTAAAAAGGTGTACGTGTAAAACATTTATTGTTAAATAAACTTTACTGATTACGAGTGTATTGTTTAGAATGGCAGTTGTTTCGAAACCAACTGACTGGAAATTGTTATATAAACAAATATGACCTACATTAGGGTTGAGTGGAGTTAAATTTAGCGGTGATGATATACAAGCATACTTGCCAACCTCCAACATGTAAAAATCTGGTCATGACCAGATTTGGCAAGTAAAAAATCTGGTCATAACGCAGAACGACATTCACGACACATTTACCATGATTAAATTAAATATATATGTACTATATATATATAAGCATTTGTGTATTGAGAATTATTATTAAAATGAGACTTTGGCTTACAGTGACAAAAAAATAATCTATATTGATTAAATTTAAATGTTAAAAGAGCATTGAAGGTTTCAGTATTCAGTAATGACCTGAATTAAGTGTGCATTTTTTTTTAAAAAGGAAAGTCTTTTCAGAATCTGCATTGCTGATTTGAAGCACATGGAAAGTTTGTGCTAAATTTGAAAGTATTCCAATCTTGGTTTTGAAGTTCTTTTTCCTTCTCCCGAATTAATTTAATTAACAAGTGCTATTAAATTTACAGTTATGCCTACACTATCTTCAAACACTTTATTTTATCTAATGAAAGTTGTTTTTCGAGATTCCTTGCTATGTACATAAATATCGTTTCTCTTTTTCTTGGTTCAATTTGTCCTGCTGGCCCTGATAACAATCTCGTTCTATCGGAAGCCATTTTAAATTGACTTCAAACTTTGATTTGTCAAAACAACTCCCAGGTAATTGTTTACACCTGCACTGATAATTTACTAGTACACGGCCCACTGAACTTAGCCATCGAAATTGTTTACGTATATCCAAGCTTGGGTTGTAACTGGAAGTTTAAAGTGCAACCTAATTTACGAACCAAATCCGGAAATCGGGAGATTTTCGGGTTGTTCGGCAAAAATCGGGTGAAAAGCATGACCCGCCATGTCATAAAAAATAATCGGGTTAAGGGTCGAAAAATCGGGTGTAACCCGACGAAATCGGGTGAGTTGGCAACTATGTACAAGTTAGAAAATGATAAATAGGGTTTTTTTTTTTAATATACACATATAATTATTAGATTTTAAATAATATCATTTTAATGGATATATCTATTTTTATTTCTGTTTGTTGATTTATTTACCGGCTATCTGTGTCATATATATACGTGACTAGTCTATCATTTAAGAATTGGGAAATACGTAATAAACTTACGATATGATAACAGTGAAAATCACTCTTAAGAGTTAAGAAAAATGTCCAGAAAAAAGGGGGTTGAATTTAGTTCCTATGTAATGCATGCACCCCAACTTTTGAACAATTTTTTGACGAAAAATGTGCATCCAATACATGTGACTTTAAGGTAAATGTTTTATACAGGGGCTGACAAATAGATTTTAACAAGGTTGGATCCTGATATTTAATTAAAGTCTTAAACTTTTTTGTCAAGTATATTTTTAGTTTCTACACACATAGCTTAATTAAATATCAAAACAAAAAATGGGGATCAATATGCTTCTTTTGGCGCTACAGTGCATTTAATAAGACCTTTGCACTGAAATTTGTGTCTTAATCAAAAATCATATCTTGGACGATTTCTCTTCAATTATTTTTTATCCAAATAAATCATGGGATAAAATAAAACTATTAGTCTATTTAAAAAAAGACACATTAAAATTGTGACTAGGAAAAAGTTTCAAATTGCTTCGCATAATCAATTATTTTACCTTTCTGCACTCACAAAATGTGATTTTTCTGGCATTAAAAATTTAACAAGCAAGAAAATTATTTTAAAGTCTTATACTTTTGCTTAATTTAAGCAGATTGATCAAAGTTATCTTATATATTTGGAAAAGAAAAACAAAAGTGGGCATCTATGATGTAAATTTTTAGATATTACTAAAAAAGTGTTAATTTTATGTTAAAATTGGCTCCATTTTTTCCTGGACTTTCAGAATATATTTACTATATTTGTCACAATGTAATGAAAGAATTGATAAGAAATAATTTAATAGATATTTCAGAACCAGCTTCAAACATTTCACTGCAAAAAACAGCTCTGTGTGCAACCAGCATGGAAAAATAGGAATCTAAACTTAACAATACTGTATATATTTCAAAAGGGAAAATTGATAATTTTCTTCTAAAAAACATTCCGCCACAAAATATAGTTGCTGGCTTAATCCTATTTGGATGGAATTTAATTGCATTTTTTTCATTGGATATGTTTTAATTTGCAATGTAGAATCCAGATTTAATGTTAGAACTTAAAAATGATGCAGAATTTTAGAAATAAAGGTCCAAACTAAAATCTGCTCAAAAGCTCAGAATCGAACTTCCTTAAGGAACTTGTCCAAGGCAAGGGCATTGTCAAAATTCACTTGCCCTACCTGAATTTTTGCTTGCCCCACTATAAACTTATACTGTATTTATGTATATATTTCAATAAAAAGGAAGACTATAAATACTGACTAGATCATTGAGACTGATCATGCAAGCCCCTGCACCCCACTTTAAATTAATGACTTACATATATTGATTTTATTTTAGTCACTTGCTCATGGCAAGTGGTTAATAAAATTTCACTTGCCCACCCCTAAAATTCACTAGCCCACATCGTCGGGCAATGGGATTTGTCAGCCCCTGTTTGTATATTAATCAGCTTAGGATCATCAAACTTTGTCAATTGATACATCTTAGGGCCTTGGAGCACGTCAACTGAAAAAAAGGTCACAGTGAACTACCTTTGGAATTTTATGACCATATTTAAATTTTTCAGATTGGCATCAAATCTCAAACTTTTTTAGTTGATGCATGTTAGGTACTTGAAGTATGTCAACTGAAAAGTAGGTCACTGTGACCTCTTTTTGAAATTTTATCAATATATTTAAATATTTCAGATACTAATTGACTTAAAATCATCAAACTTCGTCAGTTGATGTTTCTTGGGTATTAGAGTATGTCAACTAAAAAGTAGGTCACAGAGACCTACTTTTGGCATTTCAAGGCAATATCTTAATTTTTTTTTTCAAATTATAAGAGACTAAGAATCATTAAACTTTTCCAGTTGATGCATTTTGGTGTTTCAGGTCACCATGACCTACTTTTAGAATTTCATGGGTATATCTGAATACTGTATAGAGGGTTGTTTTCACCCCATGTTAATTTTACCCTTTTACACTTGGGAACAATTTTGCTTTGTTTTAAATTTGCCCAGTCACAGTTCTGTTTAAAAAATATTATACTGTGATCTTTGAATTCACCCTGTTTTAAATTTGCCCTTTTGTGAGGAAGGCAAATGGGGCAAAATTTTCCCTGTATACAGTATTTAGTATAATAAGGGGCTTCAAATCATCAAACTTTGT